CACATAAAATCGTATTATAACATCGACAGAGGCAAATCATAAAATAAAACATTAAAATCGAGATGTATCTCGCTGCATTGCACGAGTATTCTTCTAGTTATATATTTGCTAATTTAAAATGAATCTTAATAAAAACAAAATACAAAAATCTGTGTATAAAAAAAAAGGAAAAGTCTCAAAAACCCAACAAACTTTCTCATTTTGAATGATTTAGTTCATAAACTATTTTTTTTAATGAAAAAATCATTAAACTTTCTCATTTTGAAAGATTAAGTCATGAACAATTTTTAGAATGAAAAACCATTAAACTTTCACATTTTGAATGATTAAGACCTTGATTTAAAAAAAATAAACCATGGACTTTTACTAGTCGATTAATCTATTTCTTTTGGTTAAAAGAATTATGTAACTAATTTTTATTAGTGAGATGATTTATTTATTTTAAAATTTTTTGGAGGCTTGATCAATCAAAATGAAAACGTTTAATAGTTTTTTCATTCAAAAAAGAAAGTTTAATGATTTTTTATCCAAAAAAACAAATCAGAGACTTAATCATTCAAAATGAGAAATTTTAATAATTTTTTTCTTTTAAAAAAATAGTTCAGGAACTTAAACATTCAAAATGGGATAGTTTGTTGGGGCTTTTTTTGAATTTTTCCGCATAAAAAATTATAAGAAAACAAGAAATGAAATAATATAGAGTATATTTTTGTAATTACTAATCCATATTTTTTGTACTAATTCTAACTATATTATAAAATATTTGACAAAAAAACTTTTAAAAACCATTTTTATGCATTAAATATTGTTTATTGATACATATTACTTAAACTTCAAGATTATAAGTAAATTGTGCGTATGTACAACTTATTAAAGCTCCATTTTTGAATTCGTGTGACTAATTGAAGATAAACATAATCAAACATTGGATAGGTATCGCAACACAAGTGGCATGTGTAGAGTATTGAATGTATTCATAGACTTCAAAATTTTATAGCATCTGATTTGACATGCCCGAAACATTAAAACAACCAAACATAGTTTATCTCACTTGGAAGTAGGGTTTATAAAAAGGGTGAGATGTACATTTATCTGAGCGTACAAATCGTCTGAACGGAATATAGTTATCATTAGCACATGACGAATGTTAACTTTTCCTTGTGATGACCAAAAGTGGTCAAGTGTCTTTTTGTCACTCGCCATATCAACATGATATCAAGTAAATGTTTGAGACTGGACAGACTGTGTATCCGATCTTCTATGATGTGGAACCCACTCGAGTCTAGAAACAAAGTGGATAATTTGGAAAAGCCTTTTCCAAACACGAAAATGATGACGTTGCTGAGAAATGGAGAGAGGCTCTGGTAGAAGCAACATCTTTCGGTGGGAGAGACTTAAGCACCAACCGCTGATCGGCAATTCGTTCATCATATCTATGCAATATCCTGTCGTCTTGTTTCATCGTCAATCTTTGAATCGAACTTGAGTACGCTTCTCGAGATAATAAATTGAAATACGATTATGTATATGACTCCATTATAATTACTTCTTATATGTTTGTATTTCGTAGATATACAAGTGATTATTCATCAGTGGCGGAGCTAGTACGGGTGGTGAGACCCCCCTCCCCCCCGATCCTTTATAAATTGAAGTATAGATATAAAACCAACGTCTTAGGTTCCGTTTACTAAACGTTTATCCGGTAAATGCTTATCGGGTAATTTTACTTACCGGATGAACGTGGAAACTGGCAAGGGCCGATAATCTTACCCGGTAGGTGAGGGTGACAACTTCTACCTGGGTAAGCGCTTACCGAGTAAATTAATTAAAATAATGTTTAATTTAATGATAAAAATATATATTGATCTTCAATTAAAACTATAATATAAAGATATTTAGTTATGTTATAACGTTTCCCGAAAAAAGGCCACAATATTCATGGTTTCTTTTGCATGGTTTTATCTACACACTCATTACATCTCAAGTTTTTTTTCTCAAAAGTCTTATTGAACTTACGACAACGAACGTTAATCTTATATCTTACATTAGCATTTTTTTAATACCTTAAATTAGAGGTGATCATTTACGGGTCTGGGCCGGACCTAACTTGTTTTTTTGTTCAACGAGCCTAATATTGTAAACCGAAGCCCTTTTTTCGGGCTTGACAACTTGCCATTGCCCACCCTATAAACGGGCCGAGCTTGCCCATGGGCTAGCCCCAAAAGTATAACTCTTATAAATATATAAAGTTGATCATTAACAATTAATTAACAAATGTAGAACCAAAAAGTAAAGAAAAAGCACCGTTGCAATTAAAATTTTAAGCAACGAAAGTGACACATGGATCTCAACAAATAGAGAAAGAAATCGAAAACAAACAACCCTTTAGCCTTTCGGGTTCTCAAAAATAACCAAAGAATCCCATCCTATAACTTTAACAATTTAGTTTTAAAATATAATAGTATAATTTTAATTACTGATTAATTATAAAATGTAAACGGGCTGGACGAGCCTATCCATATTTATTTTTACATTGCCCATAACGACTCGGATAAATGGCGTGGTTTCATCGTAAAACGTATCATTGACAACAAGTACTAAATGCAAATTAAGCGAAAATAAGAAAATCAGAATCATACTTCTTCTACCAGCACCCGGGCCAAGGGATCAATATGATAAGATTAAGAGGCCGTTTACTAAATGCTTACCCGGTAAGTTCTTACCGGACAATTTTCCCCACCAGATGAACATGGCAAGGGCCGAGAATCTTACCCGGTAAGAGCAATGATAAGGGTGGAAAGTGATCTTACCCGGTAAGTGAGGGTGACGACTCTTGTCCAGGTAAGCGTTTACCAATAAATTGTTGCTTAGGATACTGTTTTGATGTACTACAATCTTACCCAGTAAAACAAATTATATTGTTGACTTTTACCGATAAACGCTTATCGGATAAGCATTTAGGTAAACGGCCGCAAAGTTCGCACAAACCGTTGTTTAAAACCCAGTATATTGCTTTCTATGAATAGTACGTGGCCAAGACACATACTCCATTTTCGGTAATTTTGTGATCATGCTGGTGAAAATTGTGCAAATAAAAGAACCTTCTGTTAAAATGGTGGAGGGTCGAGAAACCTGAAACGACATACATACATATAGACACACACATAGAGGGAGGTTGAGAAAAAAACTTAAAAAAAATGAAAAACTAAGGAACACCTTGATAACCATTCATCTAAATGGTCTGTGTTTAACCAATAACATTAGTAGCTAAACTTGTGTTTCAAGTTTAAGATTTTCAAGCTCGATTTATGCTAAATCAGTGGCAAAGACAAACTTTAAACAAGGTCGATTTTACTTGTAATTGGTGGTGTATTACATGGCGGTTTTAGTAAGACAATGAAGCTTGATTGTCTATGGAGTCAGATAAGACTCTATTCTTATCCTCGCTTTTACCAGTAAGATTTTTGATGCTTGTCATGTTCATCCAGGTAAGGTAAATGACCCGGTAAGCGTTTTACGGGTAAGTGGCCTCTTATGTCAAAAGGTATAACAAATATTAAAATCGAAAATGAAAATGATATGTTAACGCATAAGGAATTTTATATTTTTCTTTCACAACCAATTTTGTAACATTGTTTAAGACATAAAATTCTAGTTTGATCGAGTTCTTTTTCAATTTCTATCCAGGCCTTATTGAGCCATTCGATCATCAAGCCTTATTCAGTTTTATTAGGATCACCAAGCTTTTTCGTCAAAAATTGGGAATGAACACGGTTCATACCTTAAACGGTCCTTTTTCAGTTGGACGTAGGGCCGATGGTTTGTGTTGTACTTCTATTTGTGCATCTCTATATTATAGCATGCGTAATTATTTGTCTTTCAAGTATTCAGAGCATCTTAATCGAGTGACTTATAAGAATCCACTTTCTTTTTCTTGTCGTATCATTGACGACTTATCAAATTAAGAACCTCCATAAAACTCCACAACAACAATTATTTATAAGAACTAACTTCTTGTATTTTTTTCTTGCCACATCATTGTCAACTCATCAAATTAAGAACCTTTATAAAAGTCCACAATGACCGTTAGCTTATAAGAACCCTTTTGTGAGTCCTATGTAGTTTTCACCATCAATAAAATATTACATCTTTATAATTATTAATATACATATATACATATCTATCTATATATATCAATATATATATATATATATATATATCAATAAACTGTCATTTCACACAAAAGTCTAAAGTAAGAACCGAGGTTTTTGCACCAAAACTCTAAAAATGTGGATGACTTATAAAGAACTACATTTGTAAATTCAATGGCGGATCCATGATTTCTTCCTAGTAGAGACACTTTTAAGGTAGATTGAAGGTCCGCAAAGTCGTCTGATACGTTTTTAGCCTAAGGGATTTTTAAAGTTATCTTGGTTGATTTCAATGGATCTCTAAGTTTTTTTGGTCGATTTCTAGGGACTTTTCGGTTTTTTGGTCGATTTCGAGAGTTTTTTTTGTTTTCAAGGTACTTTTTTTTGGTTGATGGGGTTTGAGACGAGAAATTACTAGAGGGAACACATGGTAAAAAGATAAAAATATTATTTTTTACCTAAGAAAATTCCTTCTTTTTATTTTTTAATGGGGGCTTATCCCCCAATTACATAGTGAATCCGCCCCAGTTGTAATCGCTTATAAGAACCTTGCATGAACTAATTTTTTATTACAAATCTCAAACATGATTTGGTATATATTTTAGCTTTCTTTTATGTAGTTGTTGGAATATTATTTTTATTTTTATTTTTCTATATATTGAGTTTTAAATATTTTAAAGAAATGGATTAATCAGTTGAAATATTTATTAAAACGTAAACCCATTTCGTAGTTGACTTTAACTCTTAATTCATCTGAAACGTTAAGGTTGTGTATTTGTATATTGGTTTCATAGTTTTTGGAACCAATTTTCCTTTGCAAAGTTTTGATTTACTTAATAGTATCCTTCAATGGCTTCTTCTTCACCTTCATCCATTCACAAGATCACCTTTAAGTACGATGTATTTTTGAGTTTTAGAGGTGAAGACACTCGTACCAACTTCGTCGATCATCTTTACGACGCTCTTAAGCGACAAAACATTGAAACTTACAAGGATGACAAGAACCTCCAGAAAGGGAAGAGAATCGGTAAGGAGCTATTTGAAGCCATCGAAGACTCAAGATTCCACGTCATTGTTTTCTCTAAGAACTACGCATCTTCATCTTGGTGCTTGGACGAGCTTGTCAAGATTATGGAGTGCCAAAAGATGATGACTGAGCAGACTGTTTACCCTATCTTCTATCATGTGGAACCCACTGAAGTCCGCCAACAAAGTGGGGAATTTGGAAAAGCCTTTGCCAAACATGAAAAGGCAGAGGCTACTCAGAAATGGAGAGATGCTCTGGTAGAAGCAACGTCTTTCAGTGGCTGGGACTTAATGACCATTGCTAATGGGTAATTCCTTCATCATATCTATGCAATATTCTTTCATTTTGATTCTTCTCGTGTTTTATCGGCAAACTCTGAATCGAACTTGAGTACTCTTCTCGATGGAATGAATTGAAATATGATTCTATACGACATCGTTATAATCACTTCTTATATGTTTGTATTCATGTTGGAGTTTGAGAAAGCTAATTGATTCTTGTTTAACGTACAGGCATGAAGTTGAATTTATCAAACTAGTTGTTAAGGATATCTCATTGAAGTTACCTATGATCGGTACTATTGATGAAAGTTTAGTAGGCATGAGGACTCGGATAAATGGTGTGGTTTCATTGTTAAACGATTTTCCTGATGAGTTTTGCGTAATAGGAATCTGGGGGATGGGAGGAAGTGGGAAGACAACTTTGGCCAGAGCTGTTTTTGATCAAATATCCTTTCAGTTCGAAGGTATCAGCTTTGTTGCAAATGTTAGGGAAGTTTCAAAACCCGATTTCTCCGGTTTGAACAGGTTGCAACAACAAGTCCTTCGAGATGTATCAAATGATCAAGGCATCACTATAAATAATGTTTTTGATGGGAAAACAATGATGAAAATGAAGATGCCTGGTAGAAAAGTTCTTGTTGTTCTAGATGATGTGGATCATATAGACCAACTTAAGGCCTTAGCCGGTGAACCTAATTGGTTTAAGCTGGGAAGTAGAATTATCATTACAACAAGAGACAAGCAAGTACTAGTAGCACACAAAGTAGCGAACTCGAGTATTCACGATGTCAATCTGTTGACGGACGAGGAAGCAATTTGCCTCTTAAGTAGGTGCGCATTAGGGACCGAGAGTCCAAGTCCTAGGTACGAAGAGCTATCACGCCAAGTTGTACGTTATGCTGCTGGTCTTCCTTTAACGATCACAATTTTGGGTTCGTCTCTCTGTGATGCAAATGAGGATGTATGGATAGATACCCTAGAAAGACTACAAAAAATTCCATTGAATGAAACTCTACAGAAGTTGGAGTTAAGCTATATGGGTCTAGATAATGATTGCAAGGAAATATTCCTAGATGTTGCATGCATATTGAAAGGTTGGAACAAAAACGAAGCAACCAGAGCGCTTGAAAGCCGTGGATTTCATGCTATACATGGTTTGAGGGTTCTTGAGAAAAAATCTCTCATAACTATTTCTAGATATGGCTGCTTGGACATGCATGACCGTATAGAAGAAATGGGGAGGTATATTGTTCGTCGCTCGAACATTAATGAGCCTGAAAGACACACTCGATTGTGGATTGAGGAGGAAATTAAAGATATATTGGTTAACGATTTGGTAAGAAACAAAATTTATACGTAAAAAATTGTCAATAACCAACAAATTTTCCATCGTCATGACCCAAGTTAATTTCATGGTCAATTCTTTTGGATTACAGGGTACTGAAGCAACAACATGTCTACAGATGATCGCACCAGAAATCAATCCAGAAACTGTTATGAAAGGTCTTGGAAAGATGGTGAAACTTACACTTCTTCACATGTACACCAATTTCTGTTATAGCGATTGGGAAGTGGATGAAGTTGGCCAATACTTTTCAAATTATTTGCAATACGTGAAGTGGTTGCGTTATCCTTTTTGTTCTTTACCCAAAACGTTTCAAGCAAGTAATCTTGTTGCTCTTGATATGTGTCATGGCAGAATGGAACAACTTTGGGAAGGGGGAGAAAGAAAGGTAAGAGTAATGGCTGAATTATTGTTTTGAATTATTCATTATGAAACAAACACATCTATTGGTTTGTTATTACACAATATTCATCTTTTCTTTTTCTTATGATAGGTTCTTCAAAAGCTCCGATTCCTTGAACTCCGTCATTCAAAGTTGAGGACCTTTGACCTTGGGCTAACTCCAAATCTTGAGATATTAGATCTTGGTTCTTGTTTTCATTTAGTAGAACTTCACATGCCCGCTGCTGGATGTCCAAAACTCAAATCCCTCAAACTCGGTGGTTCAAAGTTGAGTACCCTTGATCTCAGGTTGGTTCCCAATATGGAGACATTGAATCTTAACAGATGTTGGGATTTGGTAGAACTTGACATGCCATGTGAATGTCCACAACTCAAATCCCTCACCATGAGTGGTACAAGGTTGAGGTCCCTTAACCTTGGGCTGACTCCAAATATAGAGACATTGGATCTTGCACGTTGTGATGGTTTGGTAAAACTTGACATGCCTCGTGAATGTTTACAACTCAAATCCCTCAACTTGAGTTGTCCAGATTTGAGGTCCTTTAACCTTGGGCCGACTCCGAATATCGAGACACTGAAACTTGAAGAATGTCCTTATTTGTTGGAACTTGACATCTCCCTCGAATGTCCACAACTCGAATCCCTCGACCTCACAATTTCAATGTTGAGGACCCTTGACCTAGGGTTGACTCCGAATCTCAACGCATTGAAGCTTCAAAGATGTTATAATTTGGTGGAACTTCACATGCACAATGAATGTTGCAAACTACAAACCCTTAGCCTTGAATGTCAACAGTTGAGGATCTTTGACTTTGGGCTGACTCTGAATCTTGAGGCTTTGACTCTCATTTCCTTTGGATGTCCACGGTTTGAATACCCCAGACACATTCATTCAAAGTTGAAGACCCTTGAGCTGACCCTTAATCTCAAGAAGTTAATTCTTGAGGATTGTGGTTTGGTAGAACTTCGCATCCCCTGTGGAAATGCAAAGCTCAAATCCATATACATGGATGGATGTTCAGAGTTGAAGGCCCTTGAGCTGACCCCTAATCTCAAGAAGGTAATTCTTAAGGATTGTGGTTTGGTAGAACTTCACATCCCCGATAGAAATGTAAAGCTCAAATCCCTAGACATCCGTAGATGTTCAGAGTTGAAGACCCTTGACCTTGGGCGAACTCCAAATCTCAAGACTTTATGTCTTAAAGATTGTTCTAGTTTGGTAAAACTTCATGCTCCCGTTGGAGGGCTAAAAGAGCTCGTCAAGTTGAAAGCACATCTGACTGCAGAGTCAGTAGATATATGCCAATTGCACCCCAATCATAATTTCCCCAAGTCTCAGTTTGAATGTTCATACAAGGAAGATCTACCCTCATCGATTGGAAATATTGAGGATCTTATTTTGGAAGGTTTATCTTGTGCTTGTACAGACCTTCAGAGTTTTTTTGGAAGCATATGTGGTTTACAACATTTAACAAAGCTTTCACTCGGAGGCGGTATTCCAGATGTGTGCATGGACCTTGACCGATTACAATGTCTAGAGGAGCTAACTTTGAAGTCTACAAAGATCAAAAATCTTCCGGATAGCATTTGTATGTTGAAACATCTGAAAATTCTCAAAATTAAATATTGTAAGCTTCTTGAGAATTTACCCGAGGATCTTGACCGATTACAATGTCTGGAGCAACTAACGTTGAAGTCTACAAAGATTAAACGTCTTCCCGATAGCATTTGTATGTTGAAACATTTGAATCTTCTCAACCTTAGAGATTGTAAGCTTCTTGAGAAGTTACCAGACGATCTTGGTCGATTAGAATGTTTAGAGAAGCTACTGCTGGAAGAGTGTGTAGTTTTACTAGATATTCCGAACAACATATGTAGGATGAAAAGCCTAAAGTTTTTCAGTCTCTTCTACTGTAATAGAGTTGAAGAATTGCCTGAGGAACTTGGGCGTTTAGGATGTCTAGAATACTTAGATATAAGAGGTACACGCATAAGTAATCTTCCACCGAGTATTTTATCGTTACAAGGCTTGGAAATTTTTCGGTCTGAAGACAAATCACCCGCAACTACAACTACAGTAGCATGGTGTACCGTGATCTAAGGAGAATTTTGAGAAGGCCCAAAGAAGCCGATTCACAATGAGAGCTACTATCTTCGTTCCCGGTAATCATCTTACTAAATTTGATCATTTAAACTTTTTTTCTATATTGTGATCCCTACGCATCTTTTGTTTACTTTCTTTGTAGTGTTATATATGTATAAGGGTGCATCATGGCGGTTAAAAACACAAAAGAATTTATGTAGCCAATCAAGGGAAGATGTTGTTCAACCTTATTTTCTCCTCTTCGGATCGAATGTATCCGCATCACATTTTGCTAAAAACAGGATATAGAGATGAAGGCGGGGTCTAAAATGAGGTGTCCGCAACTCTTTTGCCTTATATTCTCCCAAGTTTTTAGGTTTACTTGAATTAACACATGAACTAAAAAGATCGACTAACATGACGTGTTTTCTTATTCTCGACAAGAATCAAGAGGGGATATCAAGCCGTTGCATGACTATTTCTGTAAACATGCTTCATTTCGGACTAATTGAATTGTGACCGTAAGAAATCAGCCCTGATAAACTCAGTGGCCTTAATTGTTGTGTACGCATGGAATAGAACCCTGAGGGCCTAAACCACTACGCCACAACCCTTGTGGTTTAGATTACTAGTTTTATCGTCAGTTGTAAAATCTTTATATCTTTTTCTTGTATAACTTGTCTGTTTCGAAATGCATACATAATTGTGAACCGCAAAGCAAAGGAGGAAAACGAAGAAAGTTATGGAGACTGGGAGAGGTTAATCGAAATATAGTGCAGCAATCTATTAATAGAGGTTGGAGAAGTATATAAAAGATTTTAATGTTGAAACCATGTACCTTTTCAAGTGTTACAAACAGATTATAACTCTGCTCTCTGCTTCTCCTTCCTTTGCTCCTTGCTTTACTGTTTCACCAACAATAATCTTGGCAGTGAAGTTAAAATAGATAAAAATTGAGTTCCTTTCATTGTTGTTTGTTTAGCCAGAAGAACTGAAATATTTAGACTTCAACACCTTTTAAAAAAACAAACAATATCTAAATATATAAATAAAAAGACAAAACCACTAGAATGATATGTAGGGCTATAAACGAATCGAAAAACACGAACAGTAAACGGACATAATTTTTTGTGTTCATGTTCGTTCGCTAAGAAAATATGTTTGGCTGTGTTTATTTATGTTCGTTTGTTAAGACAATATGTTTGGTCCTGTTCATTTATGTTCGTTCGTTTAGATGGTAAATGAACACAGATGAACCAAAATTAAACAATAACTATAACTCATCATTTTGTTCCTCAAAACAACATAACAAAATGAAAAACCGGGTAAATTTAGGAGGGATGAAAAAGGAATTGTAAAAATTTAACTTAATGATTTACATTCTAATGTCAACAATATTAAATTTTTATATGTATAAAGAAACATAAATGAACGTAAGGGAACATAAATGAACGTGTATAAACGGACGTAAATGAACGAACACAAGTAAATGAACGTTCACAAACATAAATGAACGAACAAGACATTGTTCATGTTTGTTCATTTAACTAAATGAACAAAAAATCGTGTTCATATTCGTTCATGTATTAGATAAACGAACTTTCAATCGAATGGTTCGTTGAACGTTCGTTTCATTTACAATCCTAATGATGTGTTTTTGAGTTTTAGAGGTGAAGACACCACCTCATTAATCTCTATAATATTTTAAGACATTAATATATGTTCTTCTCCACTTTTGGGGCCACTGATGTATACAAATACAACAAAACATTTTGGGCCCTTTTTATCAACATTTTTTTGGCCCCTAAATACTTGGATTGCATTTTTATCCTTCAACTAAAAATCTTATCTTTTTTTACCAAGTAAGAGGTTTTGGATTCTCCACGTCATCCAAACAGCAAACAAACAACATCATATTCAGAGTAGGAGTGCTAGTGACCATTATTGCCTTCCATTTCATTCACTTTTCTTTCCAATCATATTCTATAGAATCCTTCAAGCATAACTTTAATGGCATCTTCTTCGACTTCATCCGTTCAGAAGAGCTTTAAGTATGATATTTTTTTTGAGTTTTAGAGGTGAAGACACTCGTAAGACGTTCGTTGATCATCTCTATCATGCTCTTCAGCACAAAAACATCCACACTTACAAAGATGATGAGAGAATCAAGAAAGGGGAGAGGATGGGTCATGAGCTCATCAAATCCATTGAAGACTCAAAATTCTATATAATTGTGTTTTCCAGGAACTATGCATCTTCATCTTAGTGCTTGGATGAGCTTGTAAAGATTATGGAGTGCCAGAAGACGACTGAGCATACTGCTTACCCAGTCTTTTATGATGTAGAACCCACTGAAGTCCGCAATCAAAGTGGGGAGTTTGGAAAATCCTTTGCTAAACAAGAAAAGGAAGAGGCTGCTGAAAAATGGAGAGAGGCTCTAAAAGAAGCAGCCAATCTTTCTGGGTTTGGGTTGAAGAACACTGTAGATGGGTAATTCATCCATATATAATATATCTGCCATATTAAAAAAAAGATGCACTATCTCCCTTCAACCCCTCACTTTTCTATTTCGTACTGATTCTTGGTAATCTACCTTTGTCCTATGATGTGAAACAGTCATCCATGGGAGATCATGTTGTGTTGTCAAAATATAAATCAAACCTGAGTCCCTGTTGAAAGATAAAACATGTGATATAATTACATGACACTCTTAATGACTTCGTATTCACATGTATGTTATAGATCTGAAATTTAAATGAACTGTTCATGTGGGATTTTGAGCAAGCTAATTTTGTCTTCTTTAAATACACAAGCATGAAGCTAAATTTATCCAAAGAATTGTTGAAGAGATCTCACTGGAGTTGTGATCCATCAATTTCAGCGTCGATGAAAAATTAATTGGCATGGAGGCTCGAATAAGGGATGTTGTTTCATCTTTAGAAACAAATATTGATGACGTTCGAATGATAAGAATCAAGGGGATGGGAGGTGGTGGGAAGACAACTTTGGCGAGAGCTGTTTTTGATCGAATATCCTTTAGGTTCGAAGGTAGCAGTTTTGTTGAGAATGTTACGGAAAATTCAAATCCCAATTTATCCCATTTGAAGAAGTTACAGAAACAAGTCCTTAAAGATGTGTTAAATGCCCAAGACATCAAAATAAGTAATGTTCATGATGGGAAAAAGCTGATAAAAAAATGATGTGTTGTAGAAAGGTTCTTGTTGTTCTCGATGATGTGGATCATATAGACCAACTTAAGGCGTTAGCGGGTGAGCTTAATTGGTTTAGTTAGGGAAGTAGAATTATCATCACAACAAGAGATGAGCAAGTGTTGGTAGCACATCGAGTGAATTTGATACGTGATATCAATCTTTTATCTCAAGAGGAAGCCATTTGCCTCCTCAGTAGGTACGCATTTGGGAAAGAGAGTCCAATTGAAGAGTACAAAGAGCTATCGGGACAAGTGGCAAGTTATGCTGCGGACTTCCTTTAACGATCACAGTTTTGGGTTCGTTTCTGTGTGGTAAAAATGAGCTTGAATGGAAAGATGCTATAAAAAGACTAAAAACAATTCCATTAAAGGAAACTTCAGAAAAGTTGGAATTAAGCTATATTGGTCTAGAGGAGGATTATAAGGAAATATTTCTAGATGTTGCATGTTTATTGAAAGGTTGGAACAAAGAGAAAGCAATCGAAGTGCTTGAAAGCTGTGGACTTCATGCTAGAAATGGTTTAAGAGTTCTTGAGCAAAAATCTCTCATAACTATTTCTATATATGGGGATTTAGGCATACATGACCATATAGAAGAAATGGGCAAGAATATTGTTCGCCGCTTGCACCCGAGGGAGCCTTACAGACATAGTCGATTGTGGATTGCAGAAGAAATTAAAGATATATTGGTTGATAATCAGGTAAAGATCAATTTCATTTGTAGGGTTGAGGAAACTAACACATTTTCATTTGTTATGACACAAGTTTCATGGTCGCTGCTTTTGGATCACATGGTACTGAAGCAATAACAGGTATACAATGGATTACAGACTCAGAACTCGATCCAGAGATTATGAAAGGCCTTGGAAACATGAAGAATCTTAGATATCTTCTGCTGGATCTTGATTATTATGATTCTTATTTGGAATATGATGAAGTTAGCCAATACCTTCCAAATGCTTTACGATATCTAAGCTGCTACGGTTACCATTTTGGCATTCAGGAAAGGACAATTGTACAAATTTGGGAAGGGGGAGAAAGAAACTTAGAATAATAGTCCAACTATTGTTTTGCATGATTCATTATAATCTTCACTTTTTGGTTTTGTTTGGTTTGGTTTGCTACTACACCAATACTTACTCTTTTTTTTGTTTATGATAGGTTTTTAAGAAGCTCAGATTCCATAGCTGAAACCTTTTTGTCAGATGTGAGACTTGTTATTATGTTCCTGCAATCTCAACTCCCTTTTAGAAAATTCTCTCTATGAAGTAAGCGGAAGTTCTTAGTGATCATCCTTTAAGTTTGCTTCGTACGTAGCAACTCAAACCGTCAAGACATGTGAACCGGGTTTAGGTGATGTTTGATTAATTGATGTTTTGCTTCAGGAAATGCACAGACTGAAGACATTGTTTTAAGTTTATGTTTTGTAACTTGACATTTTTTGGTTTATGTTATGAAAGTTCCATGATATCTAAATGTTACATTCTTCCCTACATAATCTTCTCTAATTCCAACCTGTTGCAACTTAAAATCCAAGCATTCTACAATCTTAGCAACAAAGAATGCAGGACTAGAAGAAAGCATCCTCGCCGTTTACCAAACATTTACCCGGGTAAGCGCTTACCAAGTCACGTTACCTTACCGGATGAATATGTTCAAAGACCAAGAATGTTACCCGATAAGAGTGAGACAAGGACCATGAGTCTCACCCGGTAACTAAGGGCTACGACTTTTATCACGGTAAACGTTTACCGGGTAAATTTTGCATACAGTGTCATTTTGGTAGACTAAAATCTTACCCGGTAAGTAATTAATAGTGTTAAAATTTACCGGTAAGCACTTACTGGGTAAATGTTTGGTAATCTTTACAGTTATTGGTAACAGGGAAGTTTCTTAATACAAATGGCTTGTGGTTCCAACTTCATTTTTAGCCAAGATGCCCACACAACACAAGAATATAGAACACTTTTTTGCGACACTTTTCAAGACCCGTCCTTTAAAAAAAAAGGCTAATACGACACATTATTTTGTGAGTTCTATTTGATTTAGTTTAATAGGACTCTTACTTTTGATGTCTCTAAGTGTCCTATCATGTAACTCTAATACGACACTTTTCAATGTCAAATTATTTTAGAGTCTAATATGACACTTTTTAAGTTTTATTTTATTTAAAAGACTAATAGAACATTTTAAAGTGTTATATTATTTTAGATTTTAATAGGACATTTTTAAGTGTCGTGTTATTTTTAAAAGTTAATAAGACACTTTTGATTGTTATGTTAGTGTCTAAAAGCTAATAAGGGGCCGTTTAACTAACGCTTAACCGGATAAGCGATTACCAAGTAATATTATTTCACCGGATGAATATAGTAAGGACCAATAATCTTACCCGGTAAGAGCGAGAGAAGGACCAAGAGTTTTACCTGGTAAGTGAGGGCGATAACTCTTACCACGATAAGCGCTTACTAGGTAAATTGTTGTGTACTATGTCGTTTTAGTGGACTAAAATCTTACCCGATAAATACATAATAGTGTTAAATTTTATCGGTAAGAACTTAATGGGTAAGTGTTTGAAAAACAGCCCCGAACACATTTTATTAAAGTTTAAAACATCAAAACTAATAAGACTTACCATCAAAACCAAGGCCCGGCCCAATTAATAAAAGCCTTAAGCACTCTCCTGTTAGTTATTAAATAAGCCCTGTTATATTAACTCATCGAATCCTCCCTCAACTTGAACGAACCATCATCGACTCCTCTGCAGTGATTTGCCATCGTCGAGTCGTCTACAGCCCTCATTGTTTGCCATCATCGAGTCCCCTACACTCCTCTGCACGCTGAGGATCTCAAACTGAAGTTGCAAAATCAAGTTAGACAAGGAAGCTGTTGTTCAAAATTTCAACCAAGTGGAGGTAAAATCACTATTTAGATTGATATAATAACGTGATGTTCTTTGAATTTCGTTTATTCTATTTATGTCTATCTCAATTTCATTAAAATGGAAGCTTAAATAAGGTTTCACTTTGAACGAATAGTCTATTGAGGATATTTGAATGGTTCAGCTTATACGTCATCCATTTCTTAGTATCATGATGATCTACTCGTTAGGGTGAGTTTTATATCTTGCCAAATTAACTTTATGTGTATAATTTATAATTTCTTATATTGACTTGGATTTGGTCAATGCATTATCAAAGTTCAAAAATCAAGGATGCTCTACATTGTCCAATGAATCCATCACTGACCAGCCTCTAAGCTTCCTGATCAATACTTGTTCATCTAATGCAATTAGTTCAACATAAAACAACCTGAAATTTAGTTGGTAATGCCCCAGATATATTTCTTGTTTTTCAGCTAAGGATAGAGTATTGATCACAAGCAACACAAAGTTTACTGCTTATTTTTATTTGTCGAAAATCTTTCAGATTCTATTTCATTTCTCACAACCGTAGGTTTTTAGTCTTTTGACAATGCTGCAAAACATTCTCTTCAAATACCTCTCTACAAAGCTAATAAAGAATAGTTAAGGTTTATGTATTATGTATGAGTTGTTGGTAAAGGCAACTCATAAGCTGGAATCCTGTCAAAGGCGAGGACCCTAGTTGTTAACTTTGTAGCAGGTAACTGATAACACTTATTAAGCAAGTTAAGTTGATGTGCCAGAGGTAGCTTAGGTTGCCACATTTTTTTCCTTTTCTTCTTATCTCCTATACAAAACTCTGTTAAAACAACTCTGTTCACTGGATGCCTTTTGGGTTGGATGGTTAGCTTGATTATGAATCTTGTCAGTGGCAGAGATGCATTTTTTTCTTTCTTTTTTACCTGTCCAGCTACTATGACTAAAATAATTAAGGAGATGTTGCCTCCAGATGTACGTGTTGCAAGAGATACTCGAGATCTTTTGATTGGTTTTTGCGTAGGTGAGATCCTTGTCATGCTTTCAAAGAAAACAACATTTCAAAGAATTGCACCGTTATTGGGACTTGGGAGAAATGACTAATAGATTTATGATTACCATCTTTCGTCCCACACGAACCATGATTTAATACACACTGATGAAGTTAAATTACCCCAACTGTGACTCTTTTCACTAAAGTGGGATAAACATATAAATGCTTTATGTACTGGTCAAAACTTCATTGTTGTTGGGTTTCCTATAACGCCAAAAATACAATATCTCGTTGAAAAACTGACATTTTAAATTCTGTCCAGCTTTCATGTGTCAACTTCATCACTGTTTTTGACTATCAAGCAGATTCATTGAGAGAAAACACAAAACATAAACATTGAACTCCAGTCTCTTAGCTTTTCATCAATCTCTGATTCATCCATTTTGGATGAAAATTGAGTGAGTTGTGCATGTTTTCTCACAGCTGCGCAAAACAGTCGTTAAAACAAACATTTGTCTTTGAAACCTCGTTGAGTAAACTCTAAAGCTCAGAGCTTGAAACTTTAAGACCATATTAGGGAGTGACATATATATATCAAAGTCGTAGCTTGAATCTATGAAGAATAGACGAGGGAACATCATTCTGAAATTAGGAAGAAATGAGTAAAGTACGTAGCTTCTGTCCAGCACCCATCTATAGACTTTGACACAGAATAAGTCGTATCTTCACATTGAATTTGAGAAAACTCAAAATCTCAAAGATGTAGATATATGTTTTATCTTTCCAATGCAACTGGAATCATGAATTTTGGAGCTTCGAGGTGAAAGTTGTGTGCAAAAAGCTAGAGCAGCGCAAAGCTGACAACAAGCTTTTAAAAGGTCGGGCTATGTAGATCTAGTTCACGTGACCTCTGGTTCATTATCTGTTCAGAGAATCTGAAATCAACTTAGTGAGTCTCATGCTCATTATACTCCTTATGATACAATAATAGCTAAAATTCTTCTAAGTAACCAGCAGACCACAAGTCTATATCAAGATTCAAGCATCAAAACTACCTCTACTGCTACAGTCTCTGTGCATTTTCCAACTACACTTGCTAATGCCTCTTTCCTTTTTGCCAATTATGTCAGATATCAACCCAATCTGCATCATGTTATTGCAAACATATATAAGTAACAATCTCCATCACCCTTCCTCCCAACATTCAAAACAAGTAACACAAACATATATAATGTTCTTCATCCTGATGATTGGTAACCACAAAGATGTTGTCCCACTTACCTACTGGACTAAATGAATCTATATATCTTCAACATCTTCCTTAAGTTCATGCTATTAATTTCAATTACAATATTCTAATTATTATTATACAACGATATACTAGAAATAGTTAAATAACTTTCTTAAACCATGTGCGTGTGTCTATATAACTAGAGCTTTTGGTTCATTGAAGCTGATCATACCTCTTTCTGATTTGAGGCTGTCTCTGGTCCATACAACCGGTCCCTTCTGGTCTACCCTCTAGTGTTCTTTGATACACGAATCAACATAGAAGGTTTCTGTCCGACAACTTTACACCAACTTTCACACTAAATCAGACCATGATAGCTCCAGAGTTTGCAAAAACTCAAAACATAAAAAGTGTGCATTGATTCGTTATCTGTTCAGAGAATCTGAAATAACCTGGTTTGGAGCTCAAATGAATAAGATATGATCTATGTACCACAATCACACAGATCTGTCCAACAGCTTTGCATCAGCACACCGCTGTCCACTTCAATGGTGCGTATGACCTCTCTACTGTTCGAATCTTTGAATGATCAAAACATGAAACTTCTTAATCCATCTGTTTTCTATCCGGGGCCTTTTGAATCACCTCAATTGGTTGAAGGCATTTGAATAAGCCAACTCAATATTTGCGGTTTGAAAGATCTCAACCTAACCCAACACAACCCAAACCGTACGTGCGGGTTGGGTTTCGGTTGGTCAGGTTAATCAGGTTGAAATCTGGTACATTATTTACAATCTTGCTAAGAGTTTTGTTTAAACGAGGAAAATTAAAATGAGAACATACAAACAACGCTAACAAACTCAAAAAAAGAAGTTGAAAGTTCATGCAAATAAGAAAGTAAAATTATTGTTGAAATTGTAATATAATTTTGAATATAAATAATTACGGGTTGGTCTAATGTCTAATGTACATATATTAATCAAGAACTAAATAATCATATTAAATCCATGGTATAATGCATCATGTTCATTGGGTTGAGTTGGGTTCAAATTACCCCAACCCTGTTCCAACCCAATAGATGTGGTTTGGACATAATTTTGTATCAATGTGTCGGGTTATCTCGAGTTGATGTTTTTCTGGGTTTCTTTGGCTTGAGTTGACCGGGTTGGTCAGTTTTTGAGCACCTCTGATCCTATATACCTGATTTTGGGGTTGAATGGTTTCTAACCCATTTAAGTTAATCATTAATTGCATAATATAATACCAAACACTCTCACTCATTCAAATTTTCATTCATTACCCCTTAATATCATCAACCAAGTACGATGTATTTTTGAGTTTTAGAGGTGAAGACACTCGTAACAGATTCGTTCACCATCTTTTTCAGCCTCTTAAACTAAAGAACATGAAACTAGATGCATCTTCATGTTGGTGCTTGGACGAGCTTGTCAAGATTATGGAGTGCTAAAACACGCACACTGAACAGACTGTTTACCCTATGATGTGGAACCCGTTGAAGTCCGCAATCAAAGTGGGGCATTTGGAGAAGCCTTTGACGGGCATAAAAGAAAGAGGATACATAAAGATGCAACATATTCATATATATGGGAGTTTGAGAAAGCTAATTGATTATTCTTTAACGCACAGGCATAAAGCTGAATTTATTAAAATAGTTGTGAAGGAGATTCCAATAAAGTTGCATTCCATCAGCGTTGATGACCGTTTAATAAGCAAGGGGACTCGGATAAATGACGTGGTTTCATCTTTAAACTCTTTTACTGATGAGTTCTGCATTATAGGAATCACGGGAATGGTGGGTATTGGGAAGACAACTTTGGAAAGAGCTTTTTTTGATCAAATATGCAATGAGTTCGAAGGTAGCAGCTTTGTTGAGAATGTTCGGAAAGTTTCAAAGTCCCTTTCCTTAGGTTTGAAGTGGTTGCAACAGCAAGTCCGAAGAGATGTCCTAAATGATCAAGGCATCATGGTAAATGGTGTTTTTGACGGGAAAAAGATGATGAATTTTTTTTTGCCTCGTAGAAAGGTTCTTGTTGACTCGATTGAAAATCTTGAGATCACCCGCAAATTGAGTGAAGGTCTAAAAGAAAATACACTTTTATCTTTGAATATCAAATGGGTTACCTTTTTTCTTAACAAATTAATATGAAATGTTTAGCTGCACGTTTTATGGCCAATCAACCAGGCATGGGTTTGCAGCTTGGTCAAGATGCATCTGCAGCAGCAGCCAGCAAGTAACTCAAAAGAATCTCAGCTGTTAACCTTGTTCTATATATTAAGATCACTTTGCAACTTTTGTTTAATTGCTTTGTTGTGTTATATGTATAACGGTGCAGCATATGGCAGTTAGAAACACAGAAAGAAAAGTAAGTAGCTATTCAAGGGCATGTGCTGTTCCAACCTTACTTTCTCCTTTCGGCACGGATGGATCTTAAGCCTGCAGAATGCACAGGCTGCCAACAGTTCCCATAAATCTTGAGGCAAATGCAGGATGTTCATTAATCTTACATGCCCTATGGTTCTCATCCATGAACTAGAACTCTTCAATTTCGATCATTAACAAATGGACCTTGGATCTTTCAGCTTGTAACAGAAATGTTGATATGATTCTGGTTCCTCCATGTATTATATCATCGAATTGCATCATTATGTTCAAGTATAAGTATAAAATATACTATAAAACTACGGTTAAACTTGTAAGGTTATATTGGGATGTCGATTTGAGTGACAAGTTTGAAGCTTGATTTTTATGTGTTTATGGAGTTGGATCCTATTTGGGGCAAAAACCGGGTCAAGAAGATGACCCATGTTATTGCTTGATTTTTATGTTATTGATTTACTCTTTAGCCACAGAGTTCTAAATAGAAAATCCATTTCTTTGCACATTGACCACTGAGTATTAAAAACAGTTTCAAATTTAGTCCATCACTTACTGCAGCCCCTCAGCTTGAACACAGAAAAATTTAGCAGATTTTTTTTTTTTTATTAAACTGGATATCCAACCCGCTATGCGAGCCGACTAATCCCAAGACCACTATCTGCTTTGCAGATAGCCCGGAGTCACCGCATTTAAACCGACTAATCCAATAAGAAATGGTAGTTGTTTCTTATCCTGATATGTGGTTCACTTTCTTATGTCGACATTTGTAGGACTACTTCTCCCTTATCATTTTGTGTCGTACTTCACATCTTGACATAAATAGGTGGATCACTTGGTTTGACATAAATAAGCGGGTCACCTTGTTTGACAAATGGTCAAGGTACTTCATAACCGGTTATGGGCTGTCAATCCCGACATTAAAAAATAAGATTTTTTTAATGATATATATTTTTAATACATTATAAAATTTACAATTGGGTCACTCAAATACACTTTAAAAATGTGTTTTAATATCATTAAAATTACATTGTCTTATAAAAATACATTATAAAATTATTTAAAAATACATTTATTTATAAAATTACGTTCCCCTGGTTGTAATTTTTTTTAACGAAATTGGGTCTCTAATGCAACCACAAGAATTTAATTTGTTGTTTATCCAGGAATCGGTTCATTATAAAAACAACAAACATAAAAACTTTGCTTGTTAGAAAGAGACAGCCACACTAACATAACTTGTTAAAAAATGCAATTATAGGGGCATGTTTTGTTAATTTTTCATAATATGGATGAAAGTAGTAAAAACCACCAAACCTTAGGAACTAAAAATGTAGTTCACTCTAATAGTTGCGAACAAGAATTGGTACAACCACAATGTGTAGTCATATCTCCAATAATTTAAACTCTCAGGCTGTCATCTTTGTTTATATGTGTCGGCATTCATTTTTTTTAAATGATTTAAGAAAAGTTTAAAAAAACCCAATAAAATTTAGTGTTTGGAATTATTAAGTTCTTAGACAATTTTTTGAAATAAATAAGTCCGTGAATATTTCTAAACATCTGTTAAGTAACTTGTTACATACATCCTTATAACCTATAAAACTGGTTAATGTGATAAAATAATAGAAAAAGTCTAAAAAAAAGCCAATGGGCTTCATATTTTGAATGATTAAGTACTTAAACATTTTTTGTATCAAAAAAGTATTTACATCTATAAAATAAAACAAATATACCAAAAAAATACTTACATTTACAAAAACAAATACTTACATTTAAAAAATATTATTGATGAAACTTATTTTAAAAAAAAATAAAAAATTATGTTTGTGATTTTCTAAATTAAAAAATAAAAAAATTTAAAAAGAATTACTGATTAAATTTATTCTAATTAAAAATAAAATATATTATATATATGATTTCTTAAATTAAAAAAATAAAAAAGATTTAAAAAGAATCACTAATGAAATTTATTTTAATGAAAAATAAAATATATTTCAATGAAAAATAAAATATATTTCATTGGTTGGTTTTTAAAATTAAAAAAGAAAATAGAAATATTTGATTAAATTACTTATGGGTTGACTATAAAATTTAACTAAATACATAATTAATTAAAATTTGTTTTTTAATACTGTTTTTCGAAGGATTTTCGACAGATTAGATCACCAGAAAAGTTGATCAGTAGTGTATGTATGCATCACAGAGAAAGAGAAACAAGTTTCATCAAAACACACAAGGTACAAAAAAGAACCCGAATACTCTATCCATGCTTTTTTATTTTGGTTAGGGATCAAACTGTAAGTTTTATATATCTACATGGACTAAATCTATAATTTACTCTTCAAAGGATAATCCTATCTATTGTTTCTCCAAACAAACACCACACTTTCACATAGCCATCACCTTCTCGAGGGTTATACATCTCATCATTTCATCAAGTTTTGCAACGACTTTTTGATTTGAGAAACTAGGATCGTTCAATCATACCTTCAATGGCTTCTTCTTCTTCTTCTTCAGCTTCATCCATTCCCAAGACCAGCTTCAAGTATGATGTATTTTTGAGTTTTAGAGGTGAAGATACTCGTAAGAGCTTCGTCGATCATCTTTATGAGGCTCTAAAGAAAGAAAGCATTGAAACTTACAAGGATGACAAGAACCTTGAGAAAGGGAAAAAGATCCGTAAGGAACTCATTCAAGCCATTGAAGAATCAAGACTCCATGTCATTGTTTTCTCCAAGAACTACGTATCATCGTCTTGGTGCTTGGACGAACTTGTCATGATTACGGAGTGCCAAAAGAGGCAGACTGAGCAGACCCTTTACCCCATCTTCTATGATGTGGAACCGACTGAAGTCCGTAAACAAAGTGGGGCATTTGGAGAAGCCTTTGCCAAATGTGAAAAAGAAGAGTCTGAAGGGAAATGGAGAAAGGCTCTACAAGATGCAGCATCATTCAGTGGGAGGGACTTGAGGACCACCGCAGATGGGTAATTCTTTCATTTTGTTTCTTTTCGCGTTTTATCGTCAAATTCTGACTCGAAATTGAGTACTCTTCGCTAAGGATCAAACTGAAATATGATTATATATGTAACTCCTTTATAGCTCTTAATTATATGTTTGTATTTTGTAGATATACAAGTAATTGTTCATGTTGGAGTTTGAGAAAGCTAATTGATTCTTGTTTAACATACAGGCATGAAGTTGAATTTATCAAACTAGTTGTTAAGGATATCTCATCCAAGCTACCCGTCGTCAGCACTGATGGCAATTTAATAGGCATGAGGACTCGGATAAATGGTGTGGTTTCATCTTTAAACGCATTTCCCGATGAGTTAAGCATGATAGGAATCGTGGGGATGGGAGGTGGTGGGAAGACAACTTTGGTCAGAGCTGTTTTTGATCGAATATGCGATGAGTTTGAAGGTAGCAGCTTTGTGGAGAATGTCCGGGAATGTTCAAATTCTCTTCAATTAGGTTTGAAATCGTTGCAACAACAAGTCCTTAGAGATGTGTTGAAAAAGCAAGACATATATGTAAATGGGGTTCTTGAAGGGAAAAAGGAGATGAAAAAGAAGATGGGTGGTATAAAGGTTCTTGTTGTTCTAGATGACGTAGATGATGTAGAGCAGCTCAAGGCGTTAGCCGGTGAACCTAATTGGTTTAAGCCGGGAAGTAAAATTATCATTACAACAAGAGACAAGCAAGTATTGGTAGCACACAAAGTAGCGAACTCCAATATTCACGATGTCAATCTATTAACATATGACGAAGCAATTTGCCTCTTGAGTAGGTGTGCATTTGGGAAAGAGAGTCCAAATCCTGGGTACGAAAAGCTATCAAGAGACATTGTAAGTTATGCTGCTGGTCTCCCCTTAACAATCACAGTTTTGGGTGCGTTTCTCTGTAATGCAAAGGAGCGTGTATGGATAGATACCCTTGCAAGACTTGAAAAAATTCCATTGGATAAAACTCTACAAAAGCTGGAATTAAGCTATATGGGTCTAGATACCGATTGCAAGGAAATATTCCTAGATGTTGCATGCATATTGAAAGGTTGGAAGGAAGAAAAAGCAATCATAGCGCTTGAAAGCCGTGGATTTCATGCTATACACGGTTTGACTGTTCTTCAGAACAAATCTCTCGTAACTATTTCTAAATATGGGTACTTGACGATGCATGACCATATAGAAGAAATGGGGAGATACATTGTTCGTCGTTCGAACCTTAATGAGCCTGGAAGACGCTCCCGATTGTGTATTACGAAGGAAATTGAAGATATATTGGTTAACGATTTGGTAAGAATCAAATTTATTTGTAAAGTTGAAAAAAACCAACAAATTTTTAATCAGCATGACTTAAGTAAGTTTCACTAGGGGTGTAAATGATGCGAGTCGAGTTCGAGTATCAATATACTTGACTCAAACTCGATAGCCATTTCTCAAGTTCGAACTCGACTCAAAAACTCGCAAGTAGTTAAAACTAGACTTGACTCAAACTTGATTGCACTTTTTTAAACTCGAGCTCGAACTCCTACTCGGATGAAGCTCCAACTCGAACTCGAATCAAGCTCACCCGTCAAAATTTATGAAATTTTAGGGATATAAAACTTAAATGTGTTCTCTTAAATTTTAAATGATTAAAGAGATGCACCTTAAACTTCATCATCAAAAAAACAAAGTTACAAACTTGATTAACCTCCCTCTCTTTTTATAACACCTCTTCATTCTTTTTTTACCATCTCTATTCCAATGTGGGACAACTTCAGCAAAAAATTTGTAGTTTCTTTGTCTTTTTCAAGGGAAAATTGCACCAAAATAGAATCAACTTTCACCTAATTTCTTTTTTGGGGAACCAACTTTCAAAATCGTCATTTTGGGGAACCAAATTGCACCTGATTCCTATTTTGGGGAACCAACTTTCAAAATCGTCATTTTGGGGAACCAACTTGCACCTGATTCCTATTTTAGAGAACCAACTTTCAAAATCGTCATTTTGGGGAACCAACTTGCACCTGATTCCTATAAATCAATTTAATAGAAAAAAATTAATTGATGCAATAAAAAATAAATATTAAATATCACATTCAAGAATTTTATATCTTATCAATCCGTATCAATTAATTTTTTTCTATCAAGTTGATTTTTTTTGCATTAGTAAAAAACAATTTTTATTGTGGTAATTTGGATTTTTTTTTTAAATGTTCAATTTGATATTTGAATGAAAAAAAACGAGATTTGAAATGAAAAATAGATTTTATTGCATTAATTTTTGGAAAAAAAAAAAGAATTTTAGTTATTTTTCTATAATTATTTTTCAAGTTGGTTTCTCAAAATAGGAATCAGGTGTAAGTTGGTTCTCCAGAATGATGATTTTGAAAGTTGGTTCTCTAAAATAGGAATCAGGTGCAAGTTGGTTCCCCAAAATGACGATTTTGAAAGTTGGTTCTCTAAAATAGGAATCAGNAAAATAGGAATCAGGTGCAAGTTGGTTCCCCAAAATGACGATTTTGAAAGTTGGTTTCCTCAAAAAATTATTTATAAATATAAGACGTTTTTATTACATTATATTGTACATATTATATTATAAAACTAATTTTCCCTTTTTTTAATTATGATTTTAGTAGACAAAATTATTGATTAGTTTTTATAGTTAAAAATGTCCAATATTGTTCAAATATTTATAAATATAAGACGTTTTTATTACATTATATTGTACATATTATATTATAAAACTGATTATATTTGTAAAACTAATTATATATACAAAAATTGAGTATCTCACGAGCTTTTTGAGTAGAGTATTGGGTAGCTCGACTCAACTCGTTAATATATTTCGAGTCGAGTTCTAGTTTGAGCGGAGCCTATTGGAGTCGAGTGTTGACCGAGTTTTGACCAAGTCGATCTCGAGTAGTTGGCGAGTTCTCTGGTATCATTTACACCCGTAAGTTTCATGGTCAATACTTTTGGATTTCAGGGGACTGAAGCAACATGTATAGATTTGTTCACGACAAAAGTCAATAAAAAAACTATTATGAAAGGTCTTAAAAAGATGGAGAAACTTCGATTTCTTCACGTGATCGACTGTGCAATAGATTTGGACTTTGATGAAGATGGCGGTTACTTACCAGATTCTTTGCAATATCTGAAGTTCCAACATTGTCGTTTACATGTTTTACCGAAAACATTTCAAGGAAGTAATCTTGTTGCTCTTGAAATTTGGGGCATGAAACAACTTTGGGAAGGGGGAGAGAGAAAGGTAAGAATAATGGTTTTGCATCATTTATATATTATGACATTACACATCTATTGCTCTCTTTTTACACACTCTCCATCTTTTCTTTTTCTTATCATAGGTTCTTCCCAAACTCCGATTCCTTACGCTCCGTTGGTCAAGTTTGACGACCTTTGACCTTGGGCTAACTCCAAATCTCGACATATTAGATCTTGAATATAGTCGTGATTTGGTAGAATTTCACATGCCTTTTCCATTCCCAAAACTCAAATCCCTCAACCTCAATGGTTCAATGTTGAGTACCCTTGACCTCAGGTTGGTTCCGAATATCGAGACATTGAATCTTATGAAATGTTTAGATTTGGTAGAACTTCACATTCCATGTGAATGTCCACAACTCAAATTCATCAACGTGAGTAGTCCAAAGTTGAGGTCCCTTGACCTTAAGTTGGTTTCGAATATCGAGACGTTAAATCTTAATGRTTGTTGTGATTTGGTAGAACTTGTCATGCCATGTAAATGTCCACAACTCACATCCCTCAACCTGAGTGGTTCAAAGTTGAGGTCTCTTGACCTTAGGTTGGTTCCGAATATCGAGACACTGAATCTTCATGGATGTAAGGATTTGGTAGAACTTTGCATCCACCGTGAATGTCCACATCTCAAATCCCTCGACTTGAGTTGTCCACCTTCTTTGAGGTCCCTTAACCTTGGACCAACTTCGGATTTCGAGATATTGAAATTAGAAGAATGTGATTATTTGGTAGAACATGACATGTTCCTTGAATGTCAACAACTCAAATCCCTTGTCCTCGATATTCCAACGTTGAGGACCCTTGACATTGGGTCAATTCCGAATCTCGAGACATTAAAACTTCAAGGATGTTATAATTTGGTGGAACTTCGCATGCASGAWGAACGTTGCAAACTAAGAACCCTCAGCCTTGGATGTCCACAGTTGAGGACCTTTGACCTTGGGATGACTCGGAATCTTGAGGCTTTGACTCTTGATGGGCATGATGATTTGGTACAACTTCTCGATTCCGTCAGATATCAACAACTCGAAGACCTCGAAGTGATTAATTCAAAGTTGAGTACCCTTGAGCTGACCCGAAATCTCAAGAAGTTGATTCTTACATCTTGTGATTTGGTAGAACTTCACATCCCCGTTGGAGACGTAATGCTCAAATCTCTGGACATCAAAGGATGCTCAAAGTTGAAGACCCTTGACCTTGGGGGAACTCCAAATCTCCAGAGTTTACACATTGAAGAATGTTCCAGTTTGGTAAAACTTCTTGCTCCCATTGGAGGTCTAAAAAACCTCACCAACTTAAAAGCAAAAGGTTTTTTGAGGTTTACAAATTTATATATCGAGAGATCTTATGGATTATTATTACCTAGCTTATATCTGAATGGAAAGTTGATAGATACATGCCCATTGCACCCCGATGATAATTTCCCCAAGTTTCAGTTTGATTGTACATATCATGAAGATCAACCCTCATTGATTGGAAATGTTGAGAAGCTTATTTCGATAGGTTCCTCTTGTGCTTGCACAGACCTTGAGAGTTTTTTCGGAAGCATTTGTGGTTTACAGCACTTAGGATACCTTACACTCAGATGCGATATTCCAGAGGCGCCCAAAGACCTTGACAACTTACAATGTCTAGAGCAGCTCACTTTGTCGTCTCCAAGTATTAAACATCTTCCTGATAGCATTTTATCGTTGAAACATCTAAAATTTCTCAATCTTTTTGGTTGTATGCTTCTTGAGAAGTTACCAGAGGAGCTTGACCGATTAGAATGTTTAGAGGAACTATATTTGATGTCTAAAAAGATTAAACATCTTCCGTATAGCATTTGTATGTTGAAACATCTGAAATCTCTATCACTTTATGACTGTGAGCTTCTTGAGAAGTTACCGGAGGATCTTGGTCGATTAGAATGTTTAGAGAGGCTAATACTAGAACGATGTCTAGTTTTACGAGATATTCCGAACAACATATGTAGGTTGAAAAGTCTAAAATATCTCAGTCTCCATGATTCTATTAGAGTTGAGAAATTGCCAGAGGAACTTGGATGTTTAGAATGTTTAGAAAAGTTGGATATACGAGGTACAAGCATAAATAATCTTCCCCCGAGCATTTCATCGTTAGGAGGTCTGGAAAATGTTCAATCAGAAGATGGAACAACCACAACTACAACTACAACAACAACTACAGGAGGCTGCTGTACTGTACTGTACCATATTTTCTCTTGTTGGCACGAATGGATCTTACTGCACTGCATCAATAACAGGATGTAGAGACGAAGAGGGGGCTGAAAATGAGGTGCTTACTTATTCTTGACATGAATCAAGTGGGGATATCAATCTGTTGCATGACTATTTCTTTAAACATGCTTCATTTTGTTTCTTCAGGGATGTCATGTTTATGAAGCTATCATACAAGAATGGACTCAGCGGTGTAGGATACGGTAATATGAAGAAGTTAGCTGTGGTTGAGTACTATTCAAAGGTGGTGTTTTTACATAACTCATGATTTCATATAAATTGAACCTTAAATGCATATCTTTCGAGCACTAATTGAGATCTAAAAAGAAACCATAGGTATGAAGCTGAATTTATCGACATCGTTGTTACGGGTATTTCATTGAAGTTATCGTCCATCCATGCATGAGGACTCGGATAAATGGCGTGGTTTCATCTTTAAACACCCTACACCGTTGATTCTTCATGCTACTTCTGTAATGTAATTAAACATAATGTCAATTAGGATCTCTATGATTACGTATTATTATTCTATTTCTTGAAACCAAGATCACGTTGTTCCAGATTTGGAATTATCATGATGAAGCTGCAGCCCAGAAACAGCAGTCACGTCTGGCGGTTTTCTGGGATCGATTGGAAAAACTGTCGAGAGGGAGACGAGGACGAGAACCAGAGGATAGAAATCGGAGGGCAGAACCAGAAACAGAGAAAGAGAGCAGAAATCAATCGATTGAGAGGGAGCAGGACGAGAAACTGTCGAGGAGGAGGGAGCAAGACAGGAAGCCGATCGGGAGAGGGATTGATCAGAAATCGACCAGCAGAGAGAGTAAGCAGAAACTGTTGATCGAGAGGGATTGATCARAAATCGACCAGCAGAGAGAGTAAGCARAAACTGTTGATCGAGAGGAAGAGAACCATAAATCGGGAAGAAACGGTAAGCAGATTTCCAGATTTTGGGAGCTCTCGATCGATTTTCAGATTCTGGGAGGCCATTTTGGAGACAATTTCCTGGGTTCTTCCTGCAAACTTTCGTAAGTACCTCTGGTTTTTAAATTTCAGATATGAGCAACTAAACTTCATATTCTGGTAATGAGTATGTGATTTACTTTGAATTTGGATTAGTAGAGACTTATGGTGATTTTAATATCATTTGAAGCCTTTTATGCGATTTTAGAGTTATATGTTTATTGTTTTGAGTTGGATATTTTGAGTATGATCCCTTTATATGTCTGATTCAATTTCGAGTCTCTAGATGAACTTTTAAGTCCGTAACTGCTTTTCGGTTTATCTAAGTAGCACACGATACACAATTGATATTTATGTTAAATGTTGACGCTTGACGTTAATGCAATTGGCAATTAAACTCTAAGTTTTGACTAGGTTTGATTAGCTAATTAGAGATTAATCGTAGAGTGTCCAAGTCTGATCATGCTTTTATAAGGAATAGAATATTGACGTGTGTCGATGTCCTAACCAACTTTCTTTTGAGAAAACTGGTTGAATGAGTCGATGATACATATTCCAAAGGATTAGTTGATTGATGCTCATTGCTAGTCTCGTCCATTTAATTGTTTAAAATTCTTAAGTTGTTTATGCGTCTTTGGACTTATCAATCGTCCGACTCTCCCCCATCCCCTTATATATATTATTTTTAAATGAATTTGCACATGACCCACTCAGTGAATACACAGAAAGAGTTCAAACATTCATCTTTTTAATAGGTTTTTCTAGGTTCTATACACAAGTGAATACACGGGAGGAATTCAAGCATTCATTGTTAATATGGTGTCTGATTCAGTGGCGGGGCTAGGAATTATTCTGGACAGGTGTACCTTTAAAGGTCAACAAAGTAACGTTTTGACCTAAAGAAAAGTCAATTGTGTCGATTTGGGGAATACAATACATTTTTTCAAATGGAATTGACCTTGATCTTTAAAATAAATTTATATTGCTTTTAAAAACGAGATATAAAATGACTTTTAAATAAATCCTAAAGAAAAGTTACAAAATCAAAATGGGAGAAAAATAAACAAGAAACTGCGGTACAACGGTAGTTATGTCTCTAATTGTGCTTGGGATTGTGTGTTTGAACCTGGTAGTTGTATCTTCACCCATGTTTGATATTTGTTATGAGTTCTGGTTCCAAAGTATTTGAGAACACCCTCTAAAATCAAGTGGATGCACCTTTCAGACGACGATTCTTTTCTCTTACAATAATCGAGTGAGCGGATGCATGGGAGCCCACTTAGCTCTTAATAGGTCTGCTCCTGGTCTCATTCACATGTTCATGCAAACCAAAAAATGAAAGACATTGAATATGGTGCCTCATTCACATGTTCATGCAACCTAAAATTGTAAGTGCGGGATCATTCACATGTTCATGCTTCATTTTGTTTGTTCAGGGTATTGTCATCTTTATGAAGCGATCATTCATGAATGGACTCAGCAAGTGCGAGATATGTTAATTTGAAGAAGTTTGCTCTGGCCGAGTACTATTCAAAGGTATTTTCTTATATAACTCATGATTTCATATAAATTGAACCTTAAATGCATATCTTTCGAGCACTGATTGAGGTCTAAGAAGAAACCATAGGTTCACCATGTCTTAAAATTGCCAACATTTTGCTTTGGGTCTATAGAATTCATTGAATGTTGCATATTGTTGCTCACTGTCTTCTATTTAGTTATTTTCTAATGTTATTTACAGCTGTCAGGCGAATCTTCCATGGCGAGATGGAGAATACTTATTGTCTAACACGGTGGAGTTTTGTTCCATCCCAAAACTCTGATTTTTCCTGGGGATCATATACGATAGATATCAAAACGCCTTAAGCATGCACAACGCACAGACTGCTAATAACCGAGCCACAGAATCCTTGAGGCAAATGCAGGATGCTTCATTAATCTTACATAGCCTATGGTTCTCATTAATCAACTACAACTCTTCAATTTTTGTCATTAATTAATAAATGGACCTTGGATCTTTCAGCTTGTAACAGAAATGTTGATATGATTCTGTTTGTACCATGTATTCTTTATCTAAGCATCATACTCTGCTCTATGAGGAATCATATTAGTTTTCTATTATCAGCTTATAATAAACTTTTACATCTCGCTAAAATTGTGTGGGTACACAACTAGTATTAAGGAATACAAGTAACTACAGCTGTCCTATGTTCATCGTGTGTTGGTCTTTGGTCTTTCTACATGTCTTATCACACTGTCGTGGTCTTCATGGAAACAACGGCTCTATTAAGAGGTGAACTGAATCCTATGGATTATGCGACTCTTCCTTCGCCTCTCTCTCCAATTCTCGATCTTTTTTTGCGTAACAAGTTAATACGAAATGTTCAGTTTTAGACTAATAAGAAACAATTTGCTTTCAAGCATCCAAAACAAACAATTTTTGGCACACACTCTTTCCTATCATTCCTGATTATATTGGCTAATAATCGGGTAAAGATGGAGTTTATATGTAGGGTTGAGGAAACTAACACATTTTCGTTTGTTATGACACAAGTTTCATTGGCACTGCTTTTGGATCACAGGGTACTGAAGCAACATGTATACAATTGGTCAGGTCGAAAGTACTGAATCGAGAAGTTGTTATGAAAGGCCTTGGAAACATGAAGAATCTTAGATATCTTCATGTGGGTCTTGAATGCATAAAGCTCGAATTCATCGACATCATAGGTGCAAAGTTTGTTAGTACAAACCTTTAAGCATACCAGTCTTATTATTCCAATCATCAATAGTAAGTCATACAAGTTACAACCCTTCAAACAGAACGACACAACCATTCATGAACAGGTATGACAGTTAATTAACTGTCATGATCCTTCCTAACGATATTAACAGAATTAACAGTATTTGTCATATTCCCAATAGAGCAGATTGATTAACCTGACTAGCTTACTTTCAACACACCCCCTTAAGCTAGACAGGATTGAACCTTCAAGCGATCCTTCATGCTTTTGAAATTCCCATACTGCAGTGCTTTCGTGAAGCAGTCAGCCAATTGGTCTTTAGCATGCTTCTTGCTTTTTCAACAAGAGTTCTATTTAATCTCTCAGCTACCTCATTCTGTTGAGGGGTGTATCTATGATGGTGAATTCCATTTTCCTTTAGAAAATCAAGGAAGTATGAGTTATACTCTCCTCCACCATCTGATCTAATGGTCTTGATCATGTAACCACTTTGTTTCTCAACATAAGCCTTGAATATTTTGAACATATTGAAGACCTCAGACTTTTCTTTTAAAAAATAAATCCAAAGTATCCTACTGTAATCATCTATGAAGGTGAGTATGTATCTGTTACCTCCGATAGAGGCGGTCTTCATAGGTCCATATAAGTCTGTGTGGATAAGTTCCAATGGCTTTGTTGCTCTCCAAGCTTCCTCTTGGGGAAAAGAATCTCTAGTCTGTTTTCCGATCATACACCCTTCACACACTTGTTCTATTCTGCTTAGACTAGGCAGTCCTTTAACAAGATTATGCTTTTGCATATAACTTAAATAACCAAGATTTGTATGCCCAAACCTTTGATGCCATAATAAGGTGTTTTGCTTTGTAGACATGTTAAAAGAAAATAAGGTGTTTTCATTGAAATTTGAAGGAAACTTTCTGTTACCTGTCATGTTGATCTTTCCCATAAGGCTTCCATATTGGTCACTTACTTCACATATCTTCTCTTTGAAGTGTAAATCATAACCCTTTTGTAGTAGTTGTCCCACACTAACCAGATTATGTTTTAATTCAGGAATGTAGTAAACACGGGAAATCCTCTTCTGTCCATGTATGGTGTCAATGAGTATGTCTCCCAAACCTTGAACATTCAGCCTTTTGTCATCACCTGTTCTGACTTCCCTTTTCTATGTTTCATCAATTTGAACAAAAATACTCTTATTTCCTGTCATAAAGTTGCTGCATCATAAACATGGTATCATCATCTTCCTTATAAATGAAACTGTATTTCTTTCTTCTGCTGTTTTGTTTCGACAGAATCTTGCAATATCACATTTCGTTCATTTTCAACTGTTCTTACAGGATCTTGGACAATATGTCTTTGGTCATTCATGTAACGAGGTTGGAACAGGACTCTCATGTTCCATATCAGCAGAGATATATATCTTGTTGGACGTAAAGTTTTGTCTTTTGCTTCATAGTAACTTAAATTGTTAAGATATGAGAACCGGGTTTAGGTGATCTATGATTAATTGATGTTTTGCTTCAAGAAATGCTCGAAGATATGGAATCTTAAAACTTAGTGTAATCTATAATCTCTTCTTGGATATTTTTCTTAAAAGTGCCGTGGGATCCGTGGTTCTCATTCACATCCATTATATCCAAATGTCACATTCTTCCATCCTTCAAGATGACCATTATATACAGATACGTGTTCGTGTATATGTCCAAAGCAATGATGAGATCTGCATTTCAGGCAAAAACTTCACCTACATTATGTGAATTACCGTTTTCAGTTCCAGGAAGTCCGTCATACATTTCTGTCAATATGCAAGTTTTCAAGCAGGTAAATGGGCTGCTCTTCAAATTCAAGAAAAAGTTATTCACTGAAATGATGTTACTGTCAAGCAGTGTGAACTGCAGTTCTCGACCGATAGTTTCTGGTGCTGTCTTGTTGCTGATTTGCTGTGTTCTTGATGTTGGTTTGCTACTACAGCAGCTGTTGGTGTAATCATCTCTCTTAACCAGATTCATCCTTGCAAACTCAACTCTTGTTTTGGTTGTGAAAACTGGGCCTGCTTTGTTTATAGCTTTTCACTAGAAACTGATACACATCAACTAAAAGATTACAAGACAATTAAGGGGTTTTCTGAAGGAAAAATAAATGACAAATATACCATTAATTAATCAAGTGAGCAGACCGTGTGAAAATGATGAAGGGAAAAGGCTTCGGGTGATCCAGGAATGATTGACATCAAGACTGAAGATATCGTTTTACGTGATCTATAATCTCTTTTTGGATAGTTTCTTACAAAGCAAATGCAGGACAAATGTATCATAAAGCAATCAACAAGAGAAAGTTACAAGACTAAAGATATTGTTGGCCGCCGATGGGGTTACGGTTTTGTAATCTCTACGGTTGATAAAAATGGCTTACGACCTCACTTTCACTTTAACCGAAAACCCCAAATAACACAAGAATTGACAGACCAACAAAGACCACGAATTGAGCTGCTAATCGCTGGTTGTGAATATTGGGACAATAATCTAAGACAAGGCGAAAACAAGAGATTAGGAACAGAGAAACCCACCAAATGCTTTATACCAAAGGGATACAATGATTGTTGGGAGTTAGAGACATGGGTCTGCAACTTAACAGAACCAAATGACCAGCAAAATGTTCCTATTTTAAGATTACTAGTGTGGGAGTACTTTGTTTCATGATCCGGAGATTTTCTATATAAAGATGCATTAGTTGTTAGATAGAGAGAGAAAGGTATTTGTCAGGAATAAAGTTGTAAACTTAAAATAAAATAAGTAATATTAATGACGAGGGTGTGGATAAGTTATGCATTGTTTGTATGATTGATAATAAAGTTCTTTTTTTTCTTTAAAAAGCGGAGGATACCTCTGCCGATTTTATTAAGAAATAAATAAGTATACACCTTTAAAAAGTGTTCACTTTCAAAAAGTAATGTCTACTTTCCAATACTACTCTTAATTATGAGATAGATAAATTCATTGATCTCTCGATTATGAATGATAATTGTCATTTTGTTAATTAAAAAATGTAATAATTTACACATTTATGAAATTGTGGACATGTATTTACACACACACACACACATATATATATATATATATATATATATTTGTGTGTATGTATTTGAGGAGGGATGATAATCAAATAAGAACCATAATAAATTTATAATAATTGATATAAAAAATAATTTTTTGCATTATATTTTTCATAAAAGCTCAATAATTAAATTGAAGAAAAAGTGACTCAATTAATAGCTTTTTATTATATTGGTTTCATAATTTTTGGTAGCCACACAATCTCATCCTTCTACAATCCCTTATCTTTTCATATGCAATGGACCACCCCCAAAGAAACAATAACCACTATTGACATGCCATTAGTAGCTTAGCTATCACTGCTATCTTTTAACTTAGGAGCCGTTTACCAAATGCTTATTCGGTAAGTAAAAATCAAGTCATATGACCTTACTGGATAAATATGGTAAGATCAATATCAAGAATCTTATCCAGTAAGAGCGAGACAAGGACCAAAAGTCTTACCCGGTAAGTGAGGGCGACGACTCTTATCATGGTAATCTCCAAAATGGAGAAGTTGTTGGAAATGAACCTAAATTTTTCTTGGAGATTTTGACTTTTGATTCTCCATTTTAAAGAATTTGTTGATGTTTTTTTTTTTTTTTTTTCTGTCGGGGATTGTTTACCAAATGCTTACTAGTGCTTACCACCGGGTTTTACTTACTTTATGGAGTATGCATGACATGTACGAGAATCTTACCTAGTAAGAGCATAGCAAAGACTAAAAATCTTATCTGCTAAGTTTGGGAAAAGAATCTTACATGGTAGGTGAGGGAAAAGACTTTTACCCAACAAGCGCTTATTAAGTAAACACACTTATTAAAGCTCCACGTTTGCATTCGTGTAACTAACTCCAGATAAATATAATCAAACAATGGATATGTATCTCATTTAAATATAAGAAAATCTAAAATATATTTAGGATAATGAATGAATTCTAACAAAATATTAACTAGTATCTTTATAAAAAATTATATTATTAAACCAAAAATAAATGACTTTATTATTAAATCTAAATATAATTATAGTAAAAAATGGAATTAAAGAAATTACACAAAAAAAAGACAAGAACTTTTAAATATTTAATTTGATACTAAAATTGATGCATTTTCTTTTTTTAAATTTTATTATATTTTCAAATTTATATTTTATTCAAAAAACAAAAAACATTGTCGTTTTCTTAGTACCACATAAAATCATACTACAATATCAACGGGGACAGAATAAAACGAAACACTAAAATCAAGATGTATCTTACTGCATTGTGCAAGTACCATTCTTGCAATTAAATAAATGAGTAAATGGTATTTGAATCATCATCATATTTGGTTTATTTATCCAAATTTGTCTCAAAAGGATCCAAAAAATAACGTTATAATTTACAAGGAAAAACGATTATGCATAAAGCATGGACATATAAATGAGAAATTAATGTAAAATTATATATATATATATATATATATATATATGGTTGGGTTCACGTGAGAACAGCTTGTTTTCGTGAGACCCGTGAGACCACATTTTTACACATAAACTTCACAGCAAAAACACCGTGAAAGTTTAAAAAAAGTCGAACCTTCAAGGCAAAAACACTGTGAAGGTTTTAAAAAGTTACCTTCACAGCATTTTGCTGTGAAGTTTCAAGTGTAAAATGCTGGTCTCACGAAAACAGACTGGTCTCACATGATCCCAAGTCTATATATATATATATATATATATATATATATTGACTTTGATAAAACATTATCTGATCTTGATTTTTGAAGTCATCGTAATTGTTTTATAAGATTCATCCTTTTATGTTCCAAAATAATCAATGTACCAGCACGCTAAATTATTAAAATCTCATTTTAATCCTATACGATACATTTACAAAGTTGGGATTACGTGAAACCAATCTGTTTTCGTGAGACCACATTTTTACACTTGAAACTTAATTGATGAAAATAATGAGTATTGACATTCTTTTTAATTAATAAGTGGAGTGAATTATATTTTTCGTCTCTATAGTTTGGTGCTTTGACATATATCATCTCATATTTTTAAAAATCTCTCGTTGTAATTTTTTTTAACGAAATTGGGCCACGAGAATTTAATGTGTTGTTTATCCAGGACCCAGTTCGTTATAAAAACAACAAACATAAAAACTTTGTTTGTTAGAAAAATACAACCACACTAACATAACTTGTTAAAAAGATGCAATTATAGGGGCATGTTTTGTTAATTTTTCATAATAGGGATGAAAGTAGTAAAAACCACCAAACCTTAGAGACTAAAAATGTAGTTCACTCTAATAGTTACGGATAAGAATTGGTACAACCACAATGTGTAGTCATATCTCTAATGATTTAAACTCCCAGGCTGTCATCTTTGTTTATATGTGTCGCCATTCATTTTTTTAAATGATTTAAGAAAAGTTTAAAAAAAAACCTAATAAAATTTAGTGTTTGGAATTATTAAGTTCTTAGACAATTTTTTGAAATAAATAAGTCATTGAACATTTCTAAAAATCTGTTAAGTAACTTATTACATACATCCTTATAACTTATAAAACTGGTTAATGTGATAAAATAATGGAAAAAGTCTAAAAAAAAAGTCAATAGGCTTCATATTTTGAATGATTAAGTACTTAAACATTTTTTGTATCAAAAAAGTACTTACATCTATAAAATAAAACAAATATACCAAAAAAATACTTATATTTACAAAAACAAATACTTACATTTAAAAAATATTATTGATGAAATTTATTTTAATTAAAAATAAAAAATTATGTCTGTGATTTTCTAAATTAAAAAAATAAAAAAGATTTTAAAAAGAATTTCTAATTAAATTTATTCTAATTAAAAATAAAATATATTATATATATGATTTCTTAAATTAAAAAACTAAAAAAGATTTAAAAAGAACAACTACTGAAATTTATTTTAATGAAAAATAAAATATATTTCATTGGTTGATTTTTCAAATTAAAAAAAAATAGAAATATTTGATTAAATTACTTATGCGTCAACTATAAAATTTAATTGAATACATAATTAATTAAAATTCGTTTTTTAACTCTGTTTTTCGAAGGATTTTCGACAGGTAAGATTGTCGGAAAAGTTGATCAGTAGTGTATGTATGCATTGCAGAGAAAGAGAAACAAATTTCATCAAAACACACAAGGTACAAATAGGGACCTGAATACTCTATCCATGCTTTTTTTATTTTGGTTAGGGATCAATCTGTAAGTTTTATATATCCACATGGACTAAATCTGTAATTTACTCTTCAAAGGACAATCATATCTATCTATCTATTGTTCTCCAAACAAACACAGCACTTTCACATATCCATCACCTTCTTCAGGGTTATACATCTCATTCTTCAATCATACCTTCAATGGCGTCTTCTTCTTCTTCTTCAGCTTCATCCATTCCCAAGACCAGCTTCAAGTACGACATATTTTTGAGTTTTAGAGGTGAAGATACTCGTAAGAGCTTCGTCGATCATCTTTACGAGGCTCTTAAGAAAGAAAGCATTGAAACTTACAAGGATGACAAGAACCTTGAGAAAGGGAAAAAAATCAGCAAGGAGCTCATTCAAGCCATTGAAGAATCACAAGTCCATGTCATTGTTTTCTCCAAGAACTACGCATCTTCGTCTTGGTGTTTGGACGAACTTGTCATGATTACGGAGTGCCAAAAGAGGCAGACTGAGCAGACCCTTTACCCCATCTTCTATGATGTGGAACCGACTGAAGTCCGTAAACAAAGTGGGGCATTTGGAGAAGCCTTTGCCAAATGTAGAAAAGAAGAGTCTGAAGGGAAATGGAGAAAGGCTCTACAAGATGCAGCATCATTCAGTGGGAGGGACTTGAGGACCACTGCAGATGGGTAACTCTTTCATTCATTTTGTATCTTCTCGTGTTTTATCGTCAAACCTTGACTCGAAGTTGAGTACTCTTTGTGAAAGATCAAACTGAAATATGATTATATATGCAACTCTTTTATAGCTTCTTATATGTTTGTATTTTGTAGATATACAAGTAATTGTTGATGTTGGAGTTTGAGAAAGCTAATTGATTCTTTTTTAACATACAGGCATGAAGTTGAATTTATCAAACTAGTTGTTAAGGATATCTCATCCAAGCTACCTGTCGTCAGCGCTGATGGCAATTTAATAGGCATGAGGACTAGGATAAATGGTGTGGTTTCATCTTTAAACGCATTTCCCTATGAGTTAAGCATGATAGGAATCGTGGGGATGGGAGGTGGTGGGAAGACAACTTTGGCCAGAGCTGTTTTTGATCAAATACGCAATGAGTTCGAAGGTAGCAGCTTTGTGGAGAATGTCCGGGAGCGTTCAAATTCTCTTCAATTAGGTTTGAAATCGTTGCAACAACAAGTCCTTATAGATGTGTTGAAAAAGCAAGACATTGTTGTACATGGGGTTCTTGAAGGGAAAATGGAGATGAAAAAGAAGATGGGTGGTATAAAGGCTCTTGTTGTTCTAGATGACGTAGATGATATAGAGCAGCTCAAGGCGTTAGCCGGTGAACCTAATTGGTTTAAGCCGGGAAGTAAAATTATCATTACAACAAGAGACAAGCAAGTATTGGTAGCACACAAAGTAGCGAACTCCAATATTCACGATGTCAATCTATTAACAGATGACGAAGCAATTTGCCTCTTGAGTAGGCGTGCATTTGGGAAAGAGAGTCCATATCCTGGGTACGAAGAGCTATCAAGAAACGTTGCAGGTTATGCTGCTGGTCTCCCTTTAACAATCACAGTTTTGGGTTCGTTTCTCTGTGATGCAAACGAGGATGTATGGATAGATACCCTCGCAAGACTTGAAAAAATTCCATTGCATGAAACTCTACAAAAGCTGGAGTTAAGCTATATGGGTCTTGATACCGATTGCAAGGAAATATTCCTAGATGTTGCATGCCTATTGAAACGGTGGATGAAAGAAGAAGCAATCATAGCGCTTGAAAGCCGTGGATTTCATGCTATACACGGTTTGACTGTTCTTCAGAACAGATCTCTTGTAACTATTTCTAAAGATGGGCGCTTGATGATGCATGACCATATAGAAGAAATGGGGAGATACATTGTTCGTCGTTCGAACCTTAATGAGCCTGCAAGACATTCCCGATTGTGGATTACGGACGAAATTGAAGATATCTTGGTTAACGATTTGGTAAGAATCAAATTTATTTGTAAAGTTGAAAAACACCAACAAATTTTCAATCGTCATGACCTAAGTAAGTTTCACTAGGGGAGTAAATGATGCGAGTCGATTTCGAGTATCAATATACTTGATTCAAACTCGATAGCCATTTCTCAAGTTCGAACTCGACTCGAAAACTCGCGAGTAGTTAAAACTAAACTCGACTCAAACTTGATTGCAATTTTTTAAACTCGAACTCTAACTCGAACTCGAATCAAGCTCCAACTCGAACTCGAATCAAGCTCACCCGTCGAAATTTATGAAATTGTAGGGATATAAAACTTAAATGTGTTCTCTTAAATTTTAAAAGATTAAAGAGATGCACCTTAAACTTCATCATAAAAAAACAAAGTTACAAACTTCATTAATCTCCCTCTCTTTTTATAACACCTTTTCATTCTTTTTTTCAGCAAAATTTTTATAGTTTCTGTCTTTTTTTAATTATGATTTTAGTAGAAAAATCTGTTGATTAGTTTTAGAGTTAAAAATGTACAATATTGTTCAAACATTAAAAAATATACGACATTTTTATTACATTATATTGTACATATTATATTATAAAACTGATTATATTTTTAAACTAACTATATATAAAAAAGATTGAGTATCTCACGAGCTTTTTGAGTCGAGTATTGGGTAGCTCGACTCGACTCGTTAATATATTTCGAGTCGAGTTCGAGTTTTGAGCCGAGCCTATTCGAGTCGAATGTTAACCGAGTTTTGACCAAGTCGATCTCAAGTAGTTGGCGAGTTGTCTTGTATCATTTACATCCGTAAGTTTCACGGTCAATACTTTTGGATTTCAGGGGACTGAAGCAACATGTATAAAGATGCAGGTGGGAAAAGTCAATAAAATACCTATTACGAAAGGCCTTAGAAAGATGGAGAAACTTAGATTTCTTTACGTGAGCAACTGTCCTTCGGAAGTTGATGAAGATGAGCAATACTTACCGGATTCTTTGCAATATTTAAAGTCGGATTTTTTTCCCCATTTACGTGTTTTACCGAAAGCATTTCAAGGAAGTAATCTTGTTGCTCTTGAAACTAATCTCATGGAACAACTTTGGAAAGGGGGAGAGAGAAAGGTAAGAGTAATGATTTTGCATCATTTATATATTATGACACTACACATCTATTGCTCTCTTTTTACACACTCTCCATCTTTTCTTTTTCTTATCATAGGTTCTTCCCAAACTCCGATTCCTTACGCTCCGTAGGTCATTTTTTACGACCTTTGACCTTGGGCTAACTCCAAATCTTGAGATATTAAATCTTGAACATAGTCGTTATTTGGTAGAATTTCACATGCCTCTTCCATGCCCAAAACTCAAATCCCTCAACCTCAATGGTTCAAAGTTGAGTACCCTTGACCTTAGGTTGGTCACGAATATCGAGACATTGAATCTTATGGAATGTTCAGATTTGGTAGAACTTCACATTCCATTTGAATGTCCACAACTCAAATTCCTCAATGTGAGTAGTCCAAAATTGAGGTCCCTTGACGTTATGTTGGTTCCGAATATCGAGACATTGAATCTTAATGGATGTTGTGATTTGGTAGAAATTGTCATGCCATGTAAATGTCCACAACTCACATCCCTTAACCTGAGTGGTTCAAAGTTGAGGTCCCTTGACCTTAGGTTGGTTCCGAATATCGAGACACTGAATCTTCATGGATGTAAGGATTTGGTAGAACTTCACATCAACCGTGAATGTCCACATCTCAAATCCCTCGACTTGAGTTGTCCACCTTCTTTGAGGTCCCTTAACCTCGGACCAACTTCGGATTTCGAGATATTGAAATTAGAAGAATGTGATTATTTGGTAGAACATGACATGTTCCTTGAATGTCAACAACTCAAATCCCTTGTCCT